ACTATAAGGAATCACCAAGCTGTCTTCCAAAGTGGCTATAGTATTTTGTATTCTCTCCGGGATATGTTTTTAAACATTTTAAATTACAAAAATAAATGCTGGCATCAAATTTAGGTTCTCTAAAAATTGAACAACAACCGAACAAAATGCAATAGGGAGCTATATATACAGATAGTTAATACCAGTAAGTGCTCTATCCAGTTGAGCAGCAACTTGCTGAATTTCAATGGCTAATGAGCACTTGAAAAAATGGCTAGTAGGGCTGGAGAGATGACTCAGTTATTAAGAGCACTGGTTGCTCCTGCAGAAGACCTGGGTTTCCAGCACCTACATGGCAGCTAACAACCATCTGTGACTCCAGTTCCGGTGATCTGATGCTCTCCTGTGGGCATTGCACTCATGCAGTGCACTTACATATGTACAGGCAAAGCATTCATACACATAAAATAAACTATTTTTAAAAACGAACTACAGCTAGTATGACTTGAGGAAATTCTATATCAGCCTTGTAGGAATTCTGTAAATAGCATTGTCCAACAGAAAGAACATGCAAGGCACATATGTAAGTTTAGGTGGCCACATTAAAAAGAGTAAAAAGAAGCCAGGCATAGTGATGCAAGTCTATAATCCCAGTACTTGGGAGGTAGAGGCAGGAGGATCAGGAGTTTAAGGTCACTCACAGCTAATAGTGGATTCAAAGCCAGTGTGGGATACGTAAGGCTCAGTGTGAAAACAACAAGGAAAGATAAAACAAAATCAAAGGTAAAAATTTAAAAGTGGAATTAATTTTAATAATATATCTAAAATGTTGTTTTTTAAATATTATTATTTTTTTTAGAAGAAGCATATAATTACAGCTTTAACATGCCCAATAATGGTTTCCAGAGCAAAGACACAGCTCCTTCAAAAGTGGCTATAAAATTTCTAGGTTTGCTGTTGAATCAATACAGTTATACAATATCAAACACAGTATAAGCCCTGTAAGACATAAAATTGAATGAGTTTTTAACCCTCAAAAGAGATCTCCATTTCATTCTAAAATATACTGTTTCTTACAGAAAGACTCATTGTTTTTGCTATTAACACTGAGATGTTGGCTCGTGCATCTCTAATCTGTATGTATCTGATTATTACTAGTCATAATCATTTGCACTCAGATCCTTGGTGCCTGTGTATGACTGTAAAGTCACCGGGTAGATTTCAATGGTAATGTTTATCACCTCAACTAATTAACATGGTGTAAATTTTTATGCATGTATGGAACATTTTACATTCTTTTCTTTGAACTAACTCTTTGAAATCTGGAGTGTATTTTGCCCTTATATCAGTTTTCAATTCAAATGAGCCACATTTCAAATCTTCACAGCAACAGGTGACTAGTGGCTACAGTATTAAGATAGTACAGTTGTAAACACTTATCAAGTTCGGGTTTGCTGGAGGTGGGGTTTAGGATTTAAATTTCTGACTATAATCTCAGATCTTTCAGATATTGTAGAATTAATTAAGAAAATATGTGCTCTAAGTGGTGGGCAGTCTTATAAAGCAAATGAAAATACATTCCAACTCTACCAGAGGGAGGCTAGAGTTACCAGTGTGAGATGTGTCTAGGCTCATCTTTAGACTGTGTATTTGTCTTAGTTAATTTCTATTGCTGTGATAAAAACACTGACCAAAACCAACTTGGGGAGGAAAGGGTTTATTTGGCTTACAGCACAATCCATCAGCAAGGGAAGCCAAGGCAGGAACTTAGTGCAGGAACCTGGAACACAGACCATGGAGGAACACTGCTTACTGGTTTGCTCCCTGGCCTGATCTCAGCCTGTTTTCTTTCTTTCTTTTTTTTTTTTTCAATTGCTTATTTTTAACTTTATGTGTATGAGTGTGTTGCCTTCATGTATGTAAGTGTACTTGTGTTGTGCAAAGCTCACAGAGGTCAGAAGAGGGCTTCAAATTCCTCTGGAACTGGAGTTATAGATGGTTGTTAGCTGTCATGTGGATGCTGGGAACCGAACCTGGGTCCTCTGCAAGAGTTGTTGGTGCTCTTAAGCCCTGAGCCATCTTTCCAGTCCCTCAGCCTGCTTTCTTAGACAACCAAGGACCAGCTGCCCAGGGGTGGTACCATTCACAGTGGGCTGGGTCCTCTCATAGCACTCAATAATCAAGAAAATGCCCCACAGGTCAATTCCTCAGTTGAGGTTTCCTCTACCCAGGTGCATCAAGTTGATAACTGAAGCTATCCTGCATAATATTAGTTACTTTTCTGTTGCTGTGATTAAATACCATGACCAAAAGCAACTTAGAGGAGAAGAGTTCATTTTGACTTCCAGTTCATGTGGGGTTTGGTCCATCAAGGCTGTGAAGGCATGGCAACAGTTGGGGTATATGCCAAGGAGTGGTATAACCAGGTTATATGGTAGGTTCATTTTTAGTTTTTTAAGAGTTCTCCACACCATTTTCCATAGAGGCTGCAGAAGTTTACAATCCCACCAGCAGTGAATGAGTGTTCCCCTTTCTCCACATCCTCACCAGCATTTGGTACCATTTGTTCTCTTGATCCTAGCCAGTCTGATTGGGGTAAGGTGTGATACCTTAGGGTGGTTTTAATTTGTATTTCCCTAATTAATAACGATGTTGAACACTTTTTGAGATGTTTCTTAGCCATCTTTATTTCTTCCTTTGAGAGCTCTCTGTTTAGATCTTTAGCCCATCTTTTAATTGGATCATTTGTTTTCTTGATTCTTTGTTTTTTGAGTTCTTTATATATTCTGGATGTTAAGCCTCTGTCAGATGTGTCACTGGTGAAGATTTTTTCCCCCCATTT